TATATTTACTATTTACTATTTAAAATAATAAAAAATATTTTGATTTCTTTATCTTGGAAATAAAGCATCTCAAATAATTCATCAGAATTTAAAGTATAAAAATTAAAATTTGTTACAAAAACAATTTCAATATTTTATCTTTTTTAATGGAGAATAGTTTATGATGAAATTATTAACTTTTACCGAAGAAAACGCTGTCGGTAATTTTCGAACCATAATGTATGTTTGTACAGTACTGCAGCCAACTGTAATAACATGATAGTAATAATCCATTGGTAATAAATCTTTTCAATATTTTCTATATGAAAAAGGCAAAGAATATTGATTTTTTAAACAAATATAGTTTTCCTTCTTCTAACTCCGTAATAAAATGATTAGAATTCTGATTGAAATGAATATATTATTAATGCATAAATTAAACCATTTAAAAGTTCGATTAAAGAAAACTAAAACGTTTAATTTGTTATATTGTAGTAATACTTAAAGAAACAAACAAAGTACTGTTTTGATATCGTCAAAGCAAAGACTTGCAATACTTTAATTTTTATTAATGTTTAACACTGGAATTACCCAAAGTGCAAAATGACTTGTTTCAGACTTTTTCTCTTACGTTTTTCAGAATATAAAAATGTTTCGATGAGAGAAGAATTTTTTGATAAACCCTTCAATTCTCGCATACAATATTTATAACAGAAATCGTACCAGGAATAATAAATCCAATTTTATCATTGTTATAAACCAATATATTTTAGTCGCGTTTAGGGCACGGAGTTCTAGTGTTAAATAACGTTTATGGAGTGCCACGAAAAAGAAACGGACCATGAAATCTATAATCTTCATTGATCACTAAAGAAACTATCGAATTAAGGAATTATTACAATCAAGTTGTGGCAGTTTGACCCGATCCTAAATGTCGAATTAGGTGATCACCGTCAGTTGTTTTTCTTTTGCGCGAAATACTCACAAAGTCTATCCTGCCTAAGCAGAGGTCTGCTCTCCACGTTATCGCTGACAGTCCAAACCGTCACGTTGTAGAGTTTACCAGGTGTTAGGCCGTTGAAGGTCACCTTAGTGTCGGTGTCGTCAACCAGTCGCTCTTTCGTCGTGTTGTTCTCGTCGCTAATCCGGAATCGATAGAGATCGAAAATCGAGGTCTGGATAGGTGTCGGTGTGTATCTCAAGGTCAAGGAGTCCGGTTGATCTCGATCGACCACCACAACGACTTCCGATTGGATTAGTGGCACTGGATTTCAGAGACCTTGTTTGTTGCGTTTTGATCTTTTCATTAAGTAAACTTTTCTTATATCGCGCTCATCCCTAACTATAAGCCCACCTTATGGAATCTTCCCAAGGACACCAACAAAGTTCTCCAACGCAGTTAGTGCATCTCGAACCAAAATATTCATATGGACCTATCGCAAACTTATGAAAAACTACTGTTTCTACAGTGTTTGCACGATTTGTTATCTTCTTTTCATTTGTCTTCTCTATTCTAGTTTGACACTGTTGCTACCAAAGTCACGCGTACACAGTAATAGAAATCTTTATAACTTGCACAAAGGATTTCGCAGCTGGTTGTATAAAATCAAGAGGCATAACATAGAAATCATGAATTTATTGATTATTTTCTATTCTATTTTTTAAATACTTTACGAAGAGCATGAACTCTATACGCGCGCGCGCGATGAAACATTGAATCCTCGAACCAAATGATGATAACGAATGCACCGAATGATCTTACTTCACAGACAGCAAAAAATCTAATTTCCTTTCGATGTATCCAGAGTTTTATTTATTCACAATATAATTCCAAAGTATCATAGACAGATTCAAAAGATTGGCAACGCCGTGGGCCTTGAAACAGAGTGTTTCTCATACGTCAGCTTGCTTGATAATGAATGAAAATAAAAATAGAACGATAGTACATATATATATGAGGAACATAGTTCAGTAGGATCTGCCAACTAGGCTATGAAATCTTGTTGACTTTTACGAATGAAAAGACTTGTCGGTTAAACAGGTCTGAATAATTACAATTATGATAGACCATATAATCTCTTTGATTCGCTATAGTCGGCTAAACGTGTTCAAGAAGTTTGTCGATGCTCTTTTTATCGACTGTCTCTCGAACATTAGTGCTTCAAATAAACAGCTACTAGTTTCACGAGCCAAGATTGAATTAGTTTCTGTGTAAGATTGAATAATGGCACACTAAACACACTATTAGTAACAAAAAACAATGATGACTCAAATTTTTAGCGTGTGTTAGCACTCGTGGTCAGGCGTACGGTTAAACGTAGTGGTTACACGTGGTATACGAACTTCTCGAGAAGATTTATGATCGAACATACTTGTCCTGGTGGTCAAATTGGTGACGTCACTGACTAGGCCGTAGGACAACGTGTAGATCGTGAAAGAGTATTGAACGCCCGGCATCAGGTCGCCAACGAGGACCCTTTGCACAGCGTTCTCGTCGAAAAGCGTGCTGGACACGTCGTTGCTCTCCGAGACGTTTTTCGAACGAATGTCCTCGGGATTTTCGAAAGGCCACCACCTTATCACGTACGTCTCGATCCTGCCTTCCGGTCGTGGCCACTCCAGCGTTACGTTGGTCGAGTCGACGATCGGAGTGATGTTTAGCACAGGATTTGGGCCTGCAATGAATCGCGAACATTCAGAAATGTCGCGGCATTCGTTTCTACATCCGATGCGAAACTATGCAGTGTTCAGAGCTCGAGAAAGTTCTAAAATAGAAAATGAGGAAATTCTAGACACAGGGTGCCTCTTTCGTAGCGAAACACCATACTATTTGTCGGTCGGTGCAGAAAATATTTCAAATGAAACTTAGTATTTTTTTTTGAGGTGAACATCTCATGACGATCACAAACCTTATGACTAGTCTGCGGATCTTGTGCATTTAACAGAAAAATGAATTAGGTGAAATAGACAATTCTGAAGACACTGTGAAACATGAGAAAAAGAAATTCGTATTTATTTATTTTCTATCTCTTCCAATTGATTTAGAAAGTTTTTGTGTTGCAAAAGAATTGATAATATCTTCATTTAAAGAACGTTGAAGTATTATCGTGTTCATTTTGTTTTTAAGAACATTGTAGTGCCGGTAGAACAAAATTGCACACAATTCTAAATGTAGTTCTAACAGTAAACATGGCTTGCCAATGATTTTTAAAACTTTGACATTCATATTTACATCTTGCAAGTGCACGTTATTTGTAACATTCGACTAAGGGGTAAGTGCAGTTTCTTCATAACAAGGAAAATAACATGAAATGCATAGATATTGGTGACAAACGAACTGCATCAAAAAAGAAAAAACATCTTTTGATACTGTGAAAGTCTTATTTTATAAATAGCTCTCGGCAATATTCGTGTAATCACGAGTCGTTTGTGTGTTATAATTAACGTTTCTAATCGAGCATATTGCCTTCGTGTATAGTGACGTACTAAAGAATCTAAATTCTGTGAATGTGCCATTTCTTAAATAAATTTATTATGAAGTATGCTGAGCGTACAAATACTTTTCGACCAGCTGCAGCTCTCCGTTTTATAAATAGAAATATAAGAACGATGGAATGGTGTTAATAATCGTGAATTGATTATAGGAATCGCTGCGATGAAAATCTACATGAGGGAGATACGTGATTCGTTTTCTCGATGATTGGACGCGTTTTCAGCTCCGCTTCTCTGTAATGATAGAGTTTCTAATGTAAATGCTTTACTTAATTACTCGTTTTGTTTACTTACGAACTGTGTGATTCAATTGTAGCGGATAAAGACTTTCGACACCGTAACTGACGGTGTTCACTTGAATCGTGTATTTTTCTCCAGGCGTCATATCCGCCACTTCCGCTTCCGTTTCTCGGACGCTGGGCAACTTGACCCATCTCGGATCGTCTTCTGTTCGATATCGAATCGAGAATTCGGTGTACAACGAGTTCGACGGTGCTTCCCATTGCACTACGACGGTGTGGCTGGTTACCCTTTCGAAACTCAAATTTTTTGGTGGTTTCGGCACTAGAATCAAACAAATGACTTAAAAATTTAGAACAGATACTTAGAGATATTTAGAGAACAAAAGCTGAGAAATACTTGGAGATAAGATAACTTGAAAATGTAATTACAAATTTCGCTTTCAGAAGAAGGAAGAAAATAAAATTTGATCAATCTTTAATGCATTTCGAAACAAGATGATAAGTTGAAGAGAAGAAACCGTTCATTGTAAAGAAGCAAATAGTAAAATCTATAATTAATAGATTGCATAGTAGAACTTGATGCAAGATAAAATTTGTCCTTCCTTCTTTCAATAATTTTGATATGATGAAATTGCATATCAATATCTTAGAATTCGTTTACTCTTTGAACTGTTAATTGATAATTGATAAGAACTCAGGGAAAAGAGACTAAATAAGTTGATCGTTTACGACTTCAGTTTACGTCTTCCACATAAGACAGCATACTTTTTATGCTGATACTGTTGTTCGAAACTATAAAATATTGATATCCAACTCAATTTCTAACGTTGAACGTATAAGTTACTTACAAACTGCTTGAAAATAGTCGTGTGGTTCACTTCTTAGGGTATGACTAATGGCGAATACTTTAACTTCGTAGGCCGCGCCAGGATAAAGGTCTTCCAGAACAATGTGGGATTCCGTGGTTAATGTTGTTGCACTTTCTCCAGTGTCATTCCTGTTATGTGTCACCTCGAATTTCTCTTGTCTCGAATTGACGTCGCTTTTCCACGAGATGTTCAGTCCCTTCTCGATCGGTTTCAGATCCTCGATGATCGGACTGGACGGTCGTGTGACTTGGTATAAAACGGTTTCGTTTGACTCGATTTTATTACTAATTGCTTGTACGATTATCGAGTAATTCCGGCCAGGTAGCAGAGCTTCTAACGTAACCTGGAACAATGTTATGGAAATTTAAAATCGTCGCGTATCTTATGTATCCTTCATAGCAATAAATAGTTCACCAAATTGTTTAGTAACATTCGTTACGACCTAATTCCTGACTAGTTATTTGATTGTTGTAATATGTTGCATTAAGTTTACGAGTTTATTGAGCCAAATGTTTAATCAAAATATTTAAAATAGGTTTTCATACACTCCATATACTCTCATTTGATTTTTGTTATATTCGATTGTGATTTTTTTACATATTAATGTTTTACGACACTTTTATAGAACTAATGCAAATACATTTTCAAAATATCTTGAGAATGAGTGAAATAACAATGGCCAGTTAGAATCTCCTTTTTTAACATAAAAATATTTCTTCCTTTTAATTCTAACGATCAAAAGTGACAGAAATATTGTAATATATAATTACTAATAATTATGTATACAATGTGTTCAAGTATCAACTGATGTGGACAATAGGAAATGATATTAATTATAAAATCAATCACTCCAGGTACTAAAATCGGTTGTACTTTCACCATTTTAAAAAAAAATCGTCTTTATAATAAAACTAATTAAAAGTGGGACAGCTTCACTTCAGTTAAGTTGAAGATTAATCGAAAGAGAAAGTGACGAACTTGTAAAAAGAAAAAAATGGGGAGCGTGCCACGAGCCAATGAAACGATTGCAGAATCGTGTTCACAGCTCTCTCTAATCGCGTTTACGGTCCAAAGTGAAGTAATTACAGCTACCTTGCGATCCGATAATTGCGGCTATGATGACACATGTTAAATTACCAGTAGAAAGTCACTGTTCAGTTAGGATTCAATTCGAACATTCTTGCAGGTTTCAGATCAGAAAAACTGAAGCGTGTGTGAACTTTTTATTGTACAGTTAATTAAATGTTGAACTAATTACTTTTGTTTTATCAGTAGTTAGGGTATTACTGTCGCCGCCTATCGCTGTTTCCACCTCATGATACTGCAGCTTGTAGTTATCCTGACTGCTGGAATTGTCGGGAAGCCAAGAAACCTCCACCATTCCAGTCTTTTCATCGATGACGGTGCGTAATTGGCGCACCGGCAATGGCTCTGATAACATTAACGAAGAAAATCGTAATTACATTAAGACATTGATTCAGTAACATGCACTGAATAATAGACCACGAATTCTACCTGTAAGCATAATAGAAGATAGCTTTGACAGTGGTAACTGTAATTTAAATTATGCGAAATCATATGTGGTACAATAAACATAACTATAAATAAGGAAAAAAGTGTTCATGAATTTTTAATATCTATGCCAGAAGGACCACTTTTGTACTTCAACGTCAAGGATTTTTATGATATTTGAATACATTGTAGTCCATATTAGTCCAATTAGAACGGGGGGGTGGGGTAAGTCATTATTTTTCTAATTTCGAAATTGTTTAAGAGTTACAACCCTCAAAGTTTTCAGTTTTCGCTGATTTTTACGAAAACTGCCTTTACGTTTGAATTTATATCACCAAAACTATTAAAGATACAAAATTGCAATTTTCTTCTGGTAATCTCTAAGGGCATACTTATCTGAACAATTCTTTTTTTGTATTTAAAAAAATATTTTTTTAGCAAACAAAAAGTAAAAATATTTTTGTTTTGTAAATTTGATCCGCGGTCATGAGTTTAAAAATGTGAAAAAAATATGTTCGTCTACTGTGAGCCCTCGCCATTCCATTTTAATTTTTTAATTCGCGGACACTCTGAAATTGTAATTAGAGTAGGGCGGCGAAGGTCGCTGCGCGCCTCGGGAAAACGGATCGCGGGCTCCACTATGACATTCGGTTAACTGTATCACTATCATCTCATGTTATTTGAATGAAGTCTTAAAACGTAATCGACAAATTTGCAAACAGTTGAATAGTGTAAGTGTAATTTATTTTATGGAAGAATTTTAATACTTCACTCTTAGCCAGTGAGACATTTTTTTTACAATACTCACACTTGTGAGTACCGGTTCGCGTTATTTTCAATGACTTTATCAGCAATCCAATAATAACTATATACGTCGTCTTGAACAATACAGTTATAGTTTTGTGAGAAATCTGATAAAACTATGAATTCACTGTCACTTATAGACTCTTTAATAGAACGTAAAAATGTATTTTGCATCTTAGCAACATAATCGTGTGTTTGCGGAACAATAAATTTGTTACGTAAATTCTCTAAAAATTCGTTCTTTAATGAAGTTATTGAATGTAACGCGAACTGGTACACACAAGTGTGATTATTATGAAAGAAGTGTCATTGGCGATGTGATGTACTAAAATTCTTCTGAGAATATAAATTCACTATTCAGCTATTTTGGAAACCTGTCAATTATGTCTTATGACATCATTCAAATAATGTCGTTTGTCATAGCGGAGCCGCGACTTTTTCCACCCTACCCTAATTACAGTTTCAGTGTGTACGCAAATTCAAAAATTGGAACGGAAAGGGGAGTGCTCACAGAAGACGAACTTATTTTTTCCAAATTTTTGAGCACATGACTGTGGAATAAATTTGTGAAACAAAAACATTTTTACTTTTTGTATTCTGAAAAAATATATTTTTAGAAACAAAAAAAATTCGATCATATACATATGTCTTTCAATAGTTTTGGATATATAAATTCAAATCTGAAGGCAGTTTTCATAAAGGTCAGCAGAAACTGGAAACTTTGAAGGCTTGTAATTCTTAAACAATTTCGAAATTAGAAAAATGATGACTCTCAATGTCATTAAAGTCCCTGACATAGAGGACAAAAATGATTTGTGAATGGCTGATTGAATGGCTCCGTGTAATAATTGTTAGAGGTTAGGTTACAATCGAATAACTCTTTCTTTATTTAAATCTTTAATTGTATATACACAGTAAGCGGAAAAATGAAAACAAGAACTAAACTTAAACTATCTTTGGTTGACAAAAATCAGGAACGATATAAATAAATTTGCAACAACATGTAGCCCGTTTTTCGCTTCTCGTTCTCATTCCACACTCATATCATACCACTCATACATCAGTGAATGACTTTACGCAGAACAAACGATTACGATAACCAACTTTAACAATAATTACACAGATACAAATATGTTTATTGT